TGCAACTGAATGTTAAAATTCAACACAGATAAAATCTTGTGAGAGCGAGCCCTATGGGAATACTTATGTTTTTACTGTGATATATAGCTGAATGCATAATTCTTTCTCACCTCTATGCTGCTTCTTGCAGTGATTATATTTTCTGAGTGCATCCAAAAAGAATTCATCGCTAAGGGACAATTATGAATGTGATTGAGCCTCTGCATTCCCCAGCATTTGCTTTCCCAGGTTTTATAGTTAATACATATCTTCCTCTGGTGGTTTTGTTTGAGTAATTAAATGGGACATAATTGCTGCATAGTGAAATAGCCATTGCTTTTGCTGCTTGTTAAGTCTTATTCCTGAAAATAGTGGTGTTGCTTCATCTAAATTAGGATCACATAAAATTCATAGCAGTGGAGCTTGTGACTGGTACTTGCGTGTCTTCATAAATAATGATTCCTGTGGATCAGTGCAAAAATTGATTCTCAAAATCAGGAGAATAAGTGGTTACCTCTAATACAAATAAGCTATTGCTCTTACAGGGAGCAAGACCTTTCCTGTTTTTTCACATCACAAGCTTTTCTCAGCCTGACAGCATTTAAGAGCTTGACTTGTGTCAGTGACACCAAAGACCTAGGTCAGTTTTGATGGATGCTGTGGCACTGAGCTTGTTAGCAGTCCCTTGTCTAAGTCAGTGTGAGAGAGTGACGTGATTTAAATGAGTTCACACCTGAGTTTTCCATGGTATTAGTTTTTTTAATCCCTGATACAATTTATCCTTTGCTTACTCTTAAGATTTTAAAACTTGCGTGGATGCTTAAGGGCCATGGAAAGAAGGGATTGAGAAGCAGCTCCACCTGCGGTTGAAACTCTTGACTAATCTTAGCATAGAAGCAGAGCTGGAGGCGTTATCTGTGAAGGAGAAAGGGGAGCGACTGCATCACAAAAACACTTTCTGCAATCTGCAAGGAACAGAAGCTCATCAGCTAGGCTTTTTTTGGACAAAACTCCATCTTGAAACACACTTTCTAACACTTAATGCTGGAAAGTAGGGAAAACATGGGAAGGAGGAGAAAGCAAGCTGTAGATCCAGGTATTGTTGTCAAATAGAGACCAAAGGCAAGGATTGATTCTTTCTGTTCCTTTAGAGATATGCAGGCAAGCTAATCATTTAGAAACAGGCTCCTGCTTGTCTTGAGATTACCACAAATCTTTCCAATTCTTTGGTTTTTTGCTCTTTGAATTAGAAAGGTGAGAACAAGTGCATTTGTGTGGGAGGAACTTCCTCTATTTCATTGTTGCACTCTTCCATGGGAACTAGGCTGGAGTACAGCTCACGCCCCTGTTACTAGTGATGGAAATCTTGAAGCCATGTGGGAACAGCCATAAAGAAATTTTAAGTGTTTGTGGGCAGAAAAGAGGAAAGCATGGGTAGAAGTGCTTAGAAAATATATTTTTTTATCTAATATGGAAGCTGCATGCCCAAGTGTTAAAAGCACTAAATGCTCTGGTGTACTGCACTAATTGCTGTGGTATGCTCTACCTGATTGACTTACTGTGGAGTGGCAAGTGGAGGTGAGGAGGTGATGGTAGATGTGAGAGGATGGCCCACAGTTCCCTGTAACTTACAGATCCAAAACTCTTCCCTGAGGTTGAGGTACTGGTCAAAGCATCATGAAAGTAAGGAAGCAATGGAGTTCATGGCATCTTGCAGCGATGGGGGAAAATGAGTCAATTCTTCATAATCAGGATGAAATACTTTCCAGACTATAGATTTATCTCAATGGAAAAAAAACAAATCCTTTGGTTTTTACCCTTGGCATCACTTCTAACCCTAGGACACCTCCATTCCAATCTTCATCCTTCAGAACATAGCTCAGAGACAGGCCTCTTTCTGAAAGCTTAGAAGCCTGGACCTCAGAACAGGAGATGATCCTGTTGCTGTTTCTTCCTCTCCAAAAGTTCATCCCTTAAGGACCAGGGATTAAACACTTTCTCTTTTTTGCTTAGGTAATATACTATAAAATTGGATGGAGTAGTAGCTTGTGATCTCAAAAAAGCTTACACTTTTAACAGTAAGTGTTCATAAATCAAACCGGAATTATGTGCCAGGAGGTAGTAGTCAACATTTCTTTAGTGGAGCAGAAAAGTGTGTTGGAAAGAAATCTGCACAGGCAGGTCAGAGGAGGGGAGAAAATAAAAAGACCAATTTGTAGGCCATTGTTAAATAACGAAAGAAAAGGACAAAGGAAATGAGATTAGAATTTGACGCACTTTCTCCTGAGCTTTTTGTTGCTCAAAAATGTTTCACCAGGAAATTGTAAGTGCATATGTACTTTTATCTGCAATGAGTAGTTGCATAGCCATTCTTTGCATTTGTAGTACAACCCTAATCTGTTATGAAGCTCAGCATTCACTCTATCAATATTTCGTAGTCTGTAGAGCTTAGTGGAACTGCCTTATGCATGTCTTCCTCACCATTCACCATGAGTGAAATCCCATCACAGCTACATTACTTTTGGCAGCATGTAATACTTTAAAAAAAGTACTTTAAACACTTTGAATGCAGTCTCACAGCTAAAACCAGATCTGTATTGCATGTGATCCTACTAACTTGCTAATATAGTTCACAGTTTGGAACTTTGGGGTTTAAAATTTTAACTCCAAATTGATTAAAAAAAATGATAGCTAGAGCAAGGACAGGTTATAACCCAGGAGTAGGGCCATGCTTTAAGGGACTTGTACAGTCCTGACCTGCTTGCTTTCTTGTAGTAATTTAATTTTTGAAGTGGTTTCCATATACTGTGTATTAAAGCAAGATTATGAAGGATCCTGTCTCCAGTGTGCTTGAAAGTCCTAGAAGTCATCTGGTAATGGTACCGCTTTATTTTATCTTGTGTCTTTGCCCATGAGTCTCTGGATAATGATTTTGCTATATATTCCCAGAAGGCTTTGTCAGACGGAATGGGAATTAATATTCTTTACCCTCTTGTGCTTTTGCTTCAAAATTTTGCAATGGAAGTTAGTTTAAAAGAAATTCTTCCCAAGTGGGAAAGAAGTATCTTTTGAATACTGAGTATAGGCTTGTTCAGTGACTCAGAGACCCTGGTTGACAGATGCACAAGGAGCAATAAGATACCATATATGAAGATGTATTTATTAAAGAAAGCAATTAAAAGACATTCTGTGTAGCCAAAAAATCCAGTTTAACTGGCTTCAACAATACACTGAAACTTGTCTAACTGAATTATTACTACTTCTAATAAGAGATCAAACAAAAAAGCTTGAAAATCATTTTAAGGCAAAGCTTTGGGTGAGTAGGTGAGGGACTGATAATAAACTACTTGAATGATGTTGAAATAAGATTTAAAAGAAAACAAAAATTTCATGGCACAGGGACTTTGTATGAAATCCTTGAGGGTAGTGCTGTTCTTTGCAACATTCATAGGAGTACGTTGCCTTCATTTAGTCTTTGATACAGAAAAGCAGGACACCAAGGTGTAAATGAGCTGTGCATACGAATTAATCTATTTTTTATAGGTACATAGCTTTACCAATTATTGATGTGCAGCCACAGGCAGAGTAGAGTATGATATGACTTCTGCTTGGCAGTTATGAAAGACTACATGAACCATGAAAGATTAAATGTGACTAAATTAAACTGCAACTGAACGTGCAAGGGACTCAGAGGCTACTCAGACTTCAGACATTAGTGAGTAAATCAAGCTCCACGAGGCCCGTCTAGTTTTGTTCACATCTCCCATATATGCTGCTTAGGAGTGTGCAAGCAAAGTAACATTTGCATCTCTTGGATCGCTTTTAGTTAGAAGGGAAAACCAGCTATGTTGTCTGGTACCCATTTCTGTGGTGGAGATCCTGTAATGGTTGGAATAATTTATCTTGTGCAAATTTTAGGTAGGTATTCAGTGTTTCATTATACCTGATTGTGAATGAGTCCCAGGCAGGGTTAGATTGTCAATAAGAGTTCCCTGTGATAAGCTAAGCTCTTTAACAAACTTTAAGCTAATTTGAACAGGGGAAGAAAAGCCTGAGTGGGGAAACCACATGCTATTGGGATAAAACGGCTGTGCATAGGAGTATTACTAGCTTTCTCAGGAGAACTTGAGCAGTCCTACAGAGTTGCGTCAGTTCTGAGTTACTTGCTAAACATCGAACTTCTGTGTTCTCAGAACAGTTTAATAATGTGACATTGCAGAGGGCTCCATTCTGCTGTCTCATCAAGTGGGATGCTGATATACCTCTGGTGTCCTTAGCAAAGTAACTGCCTTTCACCTCGATGCCACTTAAGGCCTGGAGAACCCCAAGGCAGAGTGGTAGTCAAAGCTCAGACACGATGAAGCACAGGAGTAAGCACTTGCATCTATAAAACAATTTCCAAGCCAATGCATTGATGGAATAGCTCTTTCTAAGGAAAATTTAATTTGTATATGACTGATATATAACTTTCTAACCTGGCTGAACAGTGAGTGATCAGACTGTGCACAAAAAGCTATAGCAAATACTTGGTACAAGGCTGTTAAGCTGCCACAGCTGCTTGTAAACCTGCTGAGCGTTTTTTCACTGAAGACTTTTTGCCACCTTTGTAGTACTTCCTCCTTCTTTGGTCTAAAATTAGAGCCCAGACTAGAAGGGGAACAGGGAGGAAGTCAATACACTTTGCTGCTAGTCACTAGAGTTGCCCTTTTTTTTTTTTTTATTTTGAGGCAACTAAGAACTGGCTTCAGATGTTCTTGGCCGCCTCCTGCCTTTTATAAACTATGAGATATGGTGGAATTACGTCTCCAGCTTTGTAGCGCAAAGGAATAAAGTATGTTTTAAACAGTACATAAAGCTGTCAGAGTGCAGCATAAGCTCATAACAGTTTGTCTTTGTGATGACCTATGGGCTCTCAGGTAGCTAGGGAACAGTTGGACTGAGACAACAGCAAAAACTGCGTAGAGAGTTAATAGCTGAGTGGCAAACTCAATGTTGCTGATTAAATACTTTTGTCTTTACAGGCCGGGTTTCCTTTTTCACCTCTGGATCGGAGAACCTTCATCGGGTGGAAAAGGTTCACTGGGGCACTCGCTATGCCATCACCATCTCCTTCACTTGCAACCCAGACCATGGCATTGGGGATCCAGTCTTGCCGTAATTCCTCTGGGGATGGAACATGAGGTCAAATGGAATGAGAGAAGCCCTGCAAGAGGAGAGAGGAAAGAGGGAAATAACATCTCTTGTAACCTCACATTCAATTAGATTTTCCTAGCTGTATTAAGATATTGTAATATGTTTTGTTTTCACATGCCTTTTTTCGATAAACGTTGCCTTAAAGGTCATTTAAAATTTGGTGTATTCTGAAAATGTCTTCATGTCATAAAGGGACAGGATACAAAGAGTCCTGGAGTAGGCTCTCTATTTTTTCTATTTTTTTTTCAATTCTCCAGTTTGAGACAAACAATCTTTTTGACAAGTCTTGATACGACTTCCCATGCTGCTGTTACCTGTTGTTTAATTAGTCTCTTCAGTTACTAATGGAGTGTAGAAAGCTTGACCTAAATTAGAGCAAGATGAGTATTACTCTTTTGAACATACCTTCTGTTGAGAGGAATATATTCTCCTTAGCATGGGCATTAGTGGGCAATACACCTGTGGTTTGACTACTGGGACTTACTTGAACTTTTTTTAATTGAATTACTACAGATATTTTCTGCTACAAACTGGGACTAGTTAATACGAAGTCAGAAATACAGTTCTCTGGTTAGCCAGCAAACATGTAACTTGAATTACAAATGCTTTGGTGTGCTAGGGTGTATCATGGCATTAGATCCCTCTGATCAGAATGCAGTGTTCTCAGTTTGCCTCACTTTCTTTGAATTATAATGAAAATAATCAGTCTTCCTGTTGGCAGCCGAGCGTTAAGGTTAAGAGCTCTTTGTGCAGATGGCTTGACCACATAACCCTCTACATAAGTAAATACCAAAAAGGAGAGCTGGGCAGAGGTAATAAGACAGTCCTTTGGTTTCATCTGAGCATTTGTCGGTACCTAGTTCCCAAGTAGGACAGTAGGATTTGGGAGCGGAACAGCTGAGAAAAAAGCTAGTTTTGATGTGGTTTTCCATATGCCAGTTCTGGCCTGCTTAGACTCAATCCTGTAAACTTTGGGTCGCTCTTGGAAGGCTGGCTAACAAAACCATGTGGACCAGCAGATTGTGGTATGTGGGGTCTGAGAGGAAACTGGTGTCCACCATACCTTTTAAATTGGTATGGTCTTGAGCTGGAACTCGATAATAAAACATTTTTAGGCCCAATAAATTCATGTTGTCAATGTAATCTTAAGACCAAGCTGAAGGAAGTTTAGGGTTTTTTATTGTTGATGCAGCTAAAGTCTTGTGTTGTGAAATGCTGTGTTTTATCTTGTCCAAAACAATGTTTTATCTGTTTCAGAAAGTTCCTCAATAGCTCTTTTTGGACTTCTCTTTTTTCAGTTTAGTATGAAGACTTTTTCCTATTAACGAGGACCACTGGTCTGTGATGTTCCTTGAATAATAAATTGCAAGGACTTCAGAGAAGAGGGGATAATTGCATTGCAGTACAGATGAAGTAACAAATGTGTAATCTTGCCAACTACTTTCCTTTCTTATTACAAGCAAAGATTTTTGCAGGTCAGCGCATTAATAAGTAAATGGTAGGAAACCCTTAATTTTTTCTCAATCAAATTCTGAAGCAAACATGTTGAATTGTTTTATTAATAGTCTGTGTAATTTCTGTGAAACACTTTGAAAATCTGGAAGTGTGCTTTGATATTTTTTTTAATTTCTATGCATACAGTTTTCGCTTTTGTTCTAATCTCCCCTTTTATGGGAATAATGGGTATTGGGGGCATTACACTGAAGATCAATATAAAGAGGAATGATGACAGGACACTTGGATTTGTTCTATTGTGAGTGTTCTCATTTGGTGCACCAGCAAGATTAGCCTTCTGTAACTTAATTTCTTTGTTTTCAAACCTGAAAAAGGCTTCCTTGTCCATGCTAACAAGGAAGAATTGTTAAAAATTCCTGGATGCTAGGAAATTAATAAAGTCCGTTGGGTTCCATGTCTAAATACTTGTCTCAAAACCTGTTAATTCCAAGAAATCTGCATTACACCCAAGTTGTAAGTTGATGTGAAGGCAGACCAAGATCACCAGCAACTACTGGTTTAAAATATAATTCCTAATGTTACTTTGAGATTTATATGTAGAGTCTTTTCCACAAAAATACCTGATAGCAGTGGAATCTAGGTATGAATGGACCTGTGTGGATTTGGGTTGGGATTCTCCAGGTTGAGGTCCTATGTTCCAAAATTCTTAACTTCACTGTAAGTCCTATCACTGCTCTGCAACACTGTTGTATAAATTGCTTTGCTATTTTTAAGTGTTTGTTAGTCACTTCTGTCTGTCATGCAGGCTTTGAGTTGCACGAGATGAAAATGGCACTTTCTGAGCTGCCCTCAACAAGATCATGTTAGACCATAGGGGAAGTCTCAGCTAATTTGCTCTTGGATTTTCATCTTTGAAGATCCTGTGTATTATACTATCTCCTGAACGTGGTGCATCTCTCATGCTATGAATTGACTGTTGTTCAGAAATAAAATCAAGTTGGTATTTGTCATTTGGAGTTTTTAAGCTTCAGTAATGTGTTCAATATGATGACCAAAGCTGTCAAATATAATTTGTGGAAAAAAAATGTGTGCTAGTACCTGGTAAGAGAATTAATCTTTTGAAAGAAGTATAATAATTCAACTGTATGTTTCAGTACCAACCAAGATTTTTGTATTTGAAGCTTCAATATCCGGACTACTAAAAGCAGTATGTAGATCTATGAAGAAATTAAATAGCAAATGAGGAAGTACAGAGCAATCTAAAAGATGCTGAACATAGCCTCCAGCAGGAAAACAGTAACTGCAGAAAGGCTGATGCTCCTGGGCCAGAGTGGAATTTGCAGAATTCACTGATCATTAGGAATAAACTTGGCTTAATTTATTTTAGTCCACTTAAATATCCTGAATAACTTTTTATTAAGGGTATCTCTTCCCGGTTCTTGACAGATCATTCTGAATTTGAAATACTTTAATTACTGTCTGTCCTCTTTCAGGTTCAGCCTGCCTGGTGCTACTGGGAAATACAGTGCTTTGTTTCTTAGAACTCTGATTATGCCAAGGACAGGATTTGTTCTGTTAGTCTGATGCCAAGCTGCTGCAGACAAGTGTTCTTAATTGAACACACTGTGATGGCAGAATTTGGCTTGATGTTTCCCAGTTGTGGGAGAACCTTTGTAAAGAGCCCTCGTGGTTCAAAGAAAGTAAAGGAAGGTCAGTACATGTTCACTGTGAGTTGGGGCTAAGTCCTGACAGTAAATTTACAGCCTTGTACCTGAAAGCATACTTGTTACAAGCATTTGGGAATGTTGATTTTTTTTTTTTGAAAGAAAACTATTTGTAAGGAAAGGTAAAGCCTGCTTGTGTGAAAAGTCCCAGGGTGAGCTAGAAGATACAGCAGGAGGACAAGTTGGAGTTTGAATCACTACTAAGAGATTGAGTGAAGCTTCCTGAACACTTCTGTGAAATTGTACTACTCTTAAAACTATCTTTCCAGTCAAAGGTTTTGGGGAGTATCAGGAACTTTTGTAAAATTAACAGGTAGGTGATCAGATTAGGGTTTTAGTATGAACCTAGTTTTCAATCCTGTAGCATGCATTTTATTTTAATTTTTTATCACCTATGACAGGATTCTAGGAACTCAGAGTGCACTTCTTGGTATTTCTCACATCTAAAACTTTCATTGTGTAAGCAGTTGTGGAGTTGTGTTTTTTTAATTCCTCATAAATCAACTGAACGTTTGGAAGGGTACATTTATGTTGAGATTTTCCTGAATATGTGTTGTCCATCTGAAATATTCTAAGCTCCATCTAATGAATTTCAAGTCCAGAAATGTTTCCCAGGATACTCTATTTACAAAAAGATTTTTAATTTGGATTTATAGCAGAAATTTAGTTTCATGACTTATTTTTAAGGTCAATATGTATCTCAATAGTTTACTTTCTGAGGCTGTAGCACATAACGATGTGCATTTTACAATAAAAGTATAGCTGAAATGGCATTGATAATGACTATGCTGTCAAGAAAATCTGGATTTGTTTCTTTTTCAGTTGCAATTCTTTGTACATTTGAATTTCTCCTTTACAGTTTTCCTTTCCCCAGTAAATAAAGATGGTTTTGGTTTTAATATAGTTCCTCACATTCCTTCTATAATCCAGATATCCTCACACAGTGTTTACATGTGAATTGAATCTGTCTAACATGTACACGTGTAGCTTTGTGCAGTGTTTGGCTTGTCTAAATTCTAGGAATAAAACCAGGAAATCTTGCTAAGAGGTCAGGACTCTTGGAGGGGGGGTGGGGGTGGGGGAAATACAACCAACCACCCTCCTCCTCTTCCTTCCCTCAAGGGGGCAGGGGGGGGAAGTCCCAATTCCTGTCTCCTTTTTGAGTCTCTTATGCAGAAATCCAACCAAACATTCCAAGAACAGCAAGAAGAGTTATTTCCTTTCTGAACCGCAGATGGCTCTGGCATGCATCGATCATCTCGGCCTCACTCAGAAAGGCAGGCTCCTCGGGAAATCCGGGTAAGAGCCATCGTAAAGCGGTGAGTGTCTATTGCTCCTTGTAAAACACCATGAAGAGCTATAGCATACTCTGCCTTATCTCTGGTTTTGTAAACCTTCTTAGGAAGCTGAAAGCTAATTGTATGTCATGTTTGCTGAAACCTGCCAGTCAACACTCTTTTAATGACTATCCAGTTACCCCTACAGTATCTCTGTAGGTATTTCTTATCTTCCATATGAGTGTTAGTGGCTTGTACTAAAACTCTTCAGGATGGACTGTCCAATGGAAGTAACTCTGTCCTATTTCCAAACTGCACGTCTTTCTCTGATTCTGTCCATCATCTCCCCTCAAATCACTTATTTCATCTCAGTACTGTCCACATACCTGTAGCATATGTTGAGTAGGGTATATAAGCTCAGTTCATTGTTTATTTGTAGACTGGCTTGCTAAAACTGAAAAGGAACTAGCGTTGCCCCTATAACCCTTTTAGCCCATGTAGTGTACTAATCTAAGATGACTTTCTAATGGCAGTGGGACTGTCAAGTGTTGCTCAATTTATAAGATTTTTTTTGCTAGAAAGGACAAAGTCCATAAGAAAGGACAAAGTCTTATTCATTTTGTAATCCTTTAGTTGCAGTGTAGGAGATATGCGCCTGTTCCTCAGTACTTTCTACTGAGGTTCTACTCTGCTTTTTCATGCTTGCCCCATATCTGGAAGTCTAGCCCTCTCCTCGCTCGCTTTCCCTTTCCAGTTACACGCACGTTTTGTTGGAGATCTTCCTCCATTCAGAACACATGCAGGCAGGAAGAATCTTATTTCTCTGCCTCACCACACACATAAAATAAATGCACGTGGATTTCTGAGTACCCAGCTGAAAGCACACAGCTCAGGAGGCGATGAAGGTGCTCACTCACGTCACACTAGTGACTATCTTCACAGCTGACTGCCTGCTACCTTTGAGCCTTGGTATTTTCATCTCAACAACTGGAACTTGAGACCTCTTGACTTTGTTTTCTAAATGCTTTTAGCACCTCCAGATGGCTTGTGAGTCACCGAGTTCCAGCATGCTGCAGAAATTATCACTTTCAATACAAGTTAAGCACGTTTCGACTCTGTAGCTAAGACTTATCTAGGCTTTGGAGCAGGCCATTAAAACTTGTCCTCATCCAATCATTCCCCTTTAATTAAACATTTCAGCTATAAAGCATGCACAGACAGGCAGTAATCAAAAGCCTTTCCATAGCTAAGTTGTACAGGGAGATATTTTTGAGATGTTCAGGTCTAAATTAATTATTCTGTCTGCTGGGCAGGCCAGCTTTGATTTGCAGCATCCTGAGCAAGGCAGAAGTGAAGGGGTCTGAGAGCAGCTGCACTGTTTGCCCTGGAGTGGGAGGTGTAGTAGTACTGTAACTGTGTGTACACTTAAAGGGCTTATATATTAAAGTTACAAACATGGCAAGGGTCCTAAGGAATGGTTATAGCCTCTTATTAGACCACTTGATAGAATTGGAGAAAAAAAGAAAAAAACAAAACTAGAAAGCTTTGAACCTCAAAGCCTTGTTTTTAACAAATGAAATGGAGTGAATAAGTGGATTGATTAACTTAAAAGTAAATGTCATTGCCCAGCAGCTGAACAGGGTTATTGAACCTTAGTTTTCTTTCCTTCTAGTTGTGGACAGACCTGCAGGCGATGGACGTGCAGCAGGGGAGAAGGCTCAGCTTGGTTTTTAACCTGTCTCCTAAGGCTGCAGCCACTACTTGCTCTAGACATCCATCACGGCTTCCTAAGCGCTGGTGAAGGCTTGTTTGTGGTACGGAGAAGACAAGGGTGGGAACAGGATGAGGATATTGCAAAATTTTTTTAAATGAATAAGATTTTAGTTCTCTAATAGTGATGGCATGCTTGCTGAATGCATTCTGAGTAGTCCAGCTGCACCAGACTGTATCACTTAGGAGACAAGTATTTTCCAGTTGTGTTCAAGGCTCTGAAAGGTGAGGACAGCATGTGTACATCTGAGCCAGCTTCACTCATGGCACATGCTAGTGATTCAGGTTCCTATCAGTGTGACCTGTAACATCTGTCTCTAAATTAGCTGCCTTGAAATTGAGAAGTATTATTTTGTTGGGAAGAACGCAGGTGTGGAAAGAATGCTTGACTTAATGAGCTTTTCTGATCTCAGTCTCCTTCAAAGTACTAGCCCGACCATAAATATTAAGGTAAGCTCTTTTTAGAGATAATATCCAAGAATGCTTCCTAACCACATGAGGATTTAGAATTCCTAAACAGCTAAAAAGCTGAAACTAATCTGAAATACGAAAACTCCATAAAACGAAGCATTTTGCACCATTGATGTATTGCATCTAAAAGCCAACCTCTGTATTTGGGCACAGGCTTAAACCAGCCCTCGGCAGGGATTTGTACAAGTGACAGGGGTGAAGATTGCTAGTCCTCTGTATTTCTGCAAAATAAGTTTAAGATTGTTATTACGGTACCCGAGTTAACTGCAGCCTTTTTCTAGTCTTAATCCTCCTCACAGATTGTTCCTGTTCACGTCTGATAGCAGGGGAAGGTTTCTGCTGGGGTAGTGCCACCAGCCTGCAGGCACCTCCCGTACCCCGATGTAGGTCCCCAGCAGCTGCTGGGGTGTCGACTCAGCTGCACGTTTCTCCTTTCAGGAGACGGTTACTCTAAACAGTGGAGATGGTGTTTATCCTTGGGGCCAGGACTGCATCAATTTGTCCAGTTTATGTTGGGAAGAGGCAGTAAAACTGATGCTTACAAGAATTCTGACTGCACACGCTCTGGCGTAGGAAGCCAAGAAAGCCCTTGTGTCCCTTGGCCCCTCACAAGGTGGGCGGTAGAGACCACCCCAGGAGGAGGTTCAGGATATGGTGGAGGCTGGACAGTGTGCTCTGGCTGTCAAGTCTGAAATTCAGTCAGCTGCTGGGATGGGGAGGGCACATCTGCCAGATTGGGAGACTTTAAGGAGATGGTGGCAGCAAAATAGACTCTATGGGGGAATGGGAGAGAATACTTGGGTTCTTCTGTGGGACTCAGCAGGATAATACCCAGGGATGGGCAGGTTGAGACCTATCTTTCTGCTGCTGAAGAGGTGCTGAGGAGGAGCAAATGCTAAATCCAGATAATGGCTAGTGCTGACCACCAAGGTCTAACAGCCCAAATGACACTTGATGGGGATTGGTATCACGTGGGTATCACATGGGATGGGGAAAGGTAAAACTAACTGACGGCCCAGGGACTTCAGCAGAGTGTGGGATCCCTTCACAAGAAGAGACAGAAATAGTTTTTTACAGACATTTCACTTAGTATTGAGAGTCAAGATCAATTTGCAGCACTTCTCCAGCCATCCTTTGCAATAGGACTCTGTAGCTGTTGACTTTTTGTAGCTTCTTGGGTACCAGTAAGGAAAGGAGCCTGGCTGGAGAGGCAGACAGTTCCTGCTGCCCTGGTGTGCTACAGAAAGATGCTTTGACAGGGACACTTAGTAGGAAGAAAAGATCCTGACAGCATTGCTGTCATCCTCTTCCCAGTATAGTACCTCCCAAATCCAGCAGAAAACTTAGGCAACAGAATCAGCATGTGGCTGCCTCAGTGGCGTATGTCCACACACAACTGA